TCCCTACACAGTTTCTAGGCCCAAGTGCCAAGTCAATTACCGACTAATCAACATCACAAAACATTTTAAGGCACCATATAAGACAAAGCATCAAAAGAATTCTTAGTATTTAGCTATACAGAAAAGTATACCTGATAGTCCAAAATGCTGAATCCTAAACCATTTCTGTCTTTCTCCAGTTCAATAACCTTCACATCAGGAGACCATAATGCTAATTCCCCTTCTTCTTCCTCAGGATTAATGTCTTCCTCGAGTTTCACCTGAAAAATAAAAGCCCTAGTTCAAATACTATTCTTTCAGTTCTTTACAAACACTATTCCTTCAATAGTTTGATTATTAATGGCTCATACATGCCCTAAAATATGACCTTTTATGGAATTACAACCTCAGTGAACATTATGCATCCAGTTTTCTCCGGCCTGCTGCCTTGGATACTCCCCTGGGACTATGCCTACATGTTTTGAGCATCAGAGCCCAACCTGGCATATAAATAGCCACGTATTAGTCAAATTAGTTGTTACAATATTACTAACCTGTTACATGTTGATGAACTTCAGCTGTCCCATTAGATGCATAAAGGAAAAATAAAGATCTTAGCATAGAAGATTTAACCACAGACAGCTAATAGAAAGACCAGATGACCAGGAACATCTGATACTTGTGGCATTAAATATGCAAACAAAAAATTCTTATATTGTAACTATACAAATAGTATCTAATTTGAAAAAGCAGTTTCTTTCACAATTTTTGTGCTAAGGTATAAACCAAAGAGGTATAGTTACCCGATTTTGTTGGGTAAGGACAGCTTCATAAATACATCTTCCAAAAAGGCATCTTCTGTTGTCTAACTTAAAATGCATGTTTTAACATTACTGCTATTTTATCAATATGATCTTTACAAAATATCGATGTATGATGTCCCAAGAAAAACATTAAAAATCTTGTATCATTAACTTCACACTGATTTAACTTTATTTCTTTGGACAAATATGCCTACTACACAGAGCACCGCCATGAGGCAAAAGGAAGAAATTTTGCTTCCACACGCTCTTGACAAAAGAAAGCAGAAATGTTGTGAGATTGCTCTAAGGAGAAGGCAACCTCTGTTCACTCAATATCACCTTATGGCAAAGATAAGCAACTGACAGGATGCACAGGGAAAACGTTCAGTAAAATGCAACATCAAAAACCACAGTGGAACAAGTTCTATTGCAACAGAAAGAGCCTTTTACAAAAAGGTGTTAATACTGTACACCTTATTCTTCTACGAAACATCCGTATTTCTTGTTTAACTCTCCACCTTAGAGGAAATTAGATCAGAAAATATCAGAAAAGATGAGAAGTCAAGGTGTAAATACTTTTTATAAATAGGAACAACCATTACAAGTTTGAAACTTTAAAGCTTCTGCAATGGAAAGAAACATTGTTTCATTTTTTTCCAGTTCTATAAAAAACTACTCAGAACATGGAAGTAATCAGCTAATGGTGGCAAGGATGTGATTTAGTATAATTCAGAGCTCTCACTCACCTAGTAAGTGTAAGAATGATGAATGGGATGTACATAGTCAGCATGCTAGCTCAATGATTTACCTACCTTGTATTTATAGCACAATGAAGTTTCTCATGACCAACCTGTATAAACTGCAGTAAAAGCACCAGTGTTGCAAACATGAACTGTCTTTCACTGAAACACCAGCTGTCCCTGATGAGTCCAAACTGAATGGCAAAGGCAGCTTTATATGACAATTTAACACAAAACTGCCTCATATAACTATATATTTTAGGAAATTATATTTAAGACTGAAAAGTGGTCTAGATCAAAAACCAGAAACACTGTCTTTAGAAAGATAAATCACATATGCATGTTTTCAAAAAGTTGCTGTTCTTTTACACAACTGAATGACATGAGAAGTCTACCTTTTGTTCTGGAGGGGAAATTCCCACGGTGGGTTCATCCACAAGAGACTCACTGCCATCATCAAAAAGTCGCCGACAGCAAACCAGTGTAAATGGGGGTGGCACTTCTTTTAGAAAAGTGATTGCCTCACGGCGTGATTTTCCATATAGCTGAACTCCATTTACCTACACAGAAGGGGAAACACACATCCACACTAAGATAATTAAAAGGATATCAACCAAATTTTTTTATTAATTTTTTTGCATACATGTCTTTCCCCACCTGAATGTGAAAGTCTAATTTTACCTAGGGATTCTGGCAAAGCTTGCACAGTTTTATTAATGTATGCTTCTGAAGTATACATCTTTACATGAAGTAAACTTCATCTGCAAGATCTTGTGACTACTGACTGCTATATCATGTCTGCTCTCTTCAGCTTCCTCTAACTTGTTTTCTGCTCACTACTTTTCCTAGCTTATATCTTTCCTAGCATTGTTATTTCATTTGCACCTGCTTCTTTGTTGGGGATTTTTTTTTCAGCATTAGGCTTATGTGTTTGAATTTAAAAAGATAAAAATTTAATTTAACAAAATATTTTAAGAAAACACAGATTTTGAGCTGTAATCAAAAACTTGAAGTCAGAAGTAGCACAATTTTGTCCTTTGTTTAAAATGAACAAAATGGTTGAAACCAAAATAGATCTTACAGAAAACATGCAAGAATGTTTATATAGTAAAAAAGAAATCAATTACTAAGCAATTAATCAGAAAACCCTGGCAAAGATCAAAAGCTTTAGATCCTGAGTGACAACAGAAGACCGTAAGGCCATTGTTACTGGATGTTTTAAACCACAGACTTAAAAAAAAAAACCCAAACCCTAGATAGATAATAGTGCTGCTTTAAAAATGGGATACTGCAGTTGTACTTCCTCAGGAAAATAAAACTACAGTGATTCATCCTCTTTTATGTATTTTATAACCTGCAATATCATGAGGGTACATCTATTTGCACCACAGAAGTTCCCTTAAATATGAGAAAAGCAGAATGTCAGTAGGCATCATAGATGTGAACATCATCTGTATTGACAAGCAGTGCAGCCCCAAAAGAGCAAGGGTTTAACCCAATTAGTGCTATGGATTCAATCCAGACACCTCTTGTGTTTCAGGGATTTCTTTCAGGCTACCTCAACTCTGCTCTCATGACCAAATGTCCAAAGTTGCTGGAGTGCAACCACTGGTTTAGGAATCCAGTACACATCATCCAAATCCACTCCACAACATGAACCAAAGCACAGTAAGTGGGGATAATTGAAGATTCTCTTCAATACTTCACTCCATACCCAAACCGCAATGCTAATGTAGATGAACCCACATTTGATCCTAGAAAATATAGCACGTAAATATACAACATACATGTACACGCCTCTGTACATGTGTACTTGAGGCAGAGACTTGCCATATACTTCCCAGATCCCTCGGTCTTTAGAGGGACTCAATCTTGTGCAAGACTACACAGCAACCTCACTTCAGCCACCATTTTCCTCCTGATCACCTCTATGTTTTCCCACTTTTTCCTTTGTGCTTTCTACACTGTAAATATAGCTTATACTGCTGGGAAACAGAGTTCTTCTCACACTATAACCCAGCCAAGGAGAAAAATTCAGAGTGGTGTAACTGGCCTCCAACATGGTAAGACGAACTGCAACTGTAAGAATTACAGCAACTGCTGAGCTATCAGGCTAATCCATTAGTTAATTATTTAAGCAGAAGTATCTACACATAAGGATTTTTTAATGCATTGAGAGCGGCAGTGTGGTGGAAAGTTACCAGCACTTCTCAGTGTACTGTGATTGATGGAGAAGAGCTACCATGCACTCCCAAGCAGACTTGGGGACTCCCATTTCTCCTTTGGCAGCTGCCAGAAATCAACCTCTAAACACGCAAGGTGCCCAACACCCCATTCATTCACCACACCACTCTAGTGAGTTGTGCCATCAAATAGGAGCAAGTGAAATTTTTTTAACAAAACTAGAAGGACACAAGGAAGCAATTTACTCCTAAAAAGGAACACAATGAAATTAGCTAAAATGGGGGAGGGGGGAGGAATACCATGCTTTCTATCATAATTCAAACACATCATTAAAAATAATCAACATTCAACCTCTCTATATACTAAAAAAAATTCCTTGCTGATCACATTTTAATCCCAACTGTATCAGGGCCAGGTAGAGCTGCTTGTTTGGGAAATGGGGCTGTCATTTTTTCCATTGCAAACCCCTACTTAAGGGGATTTATAACTTGGCTGCAAAAACATACTCTGGGCTAAACCTGGCATATATAGCTTTAGCCCTGAAGCACATTTTTATTTTGTTGGGATTTTTTTTTTTCCCTGCTGCAGAGTAGGAAAATATTTATGCTCACTAGGTCTGGACATATCTGTGAACTTAATTGTAAGTATACAGTAATAAGTAAAACTGTCAAATACATGCAATTAAAGTTTCCTAAGTTACTCTACAGCACTGCATTATTGCTTTTTGTATACAATTTTTTGTTTAGTGGCCAAGGAATTTAAACAACACTTCCAGCATTCCATTAATCCCTTCCTTTAGGAATAAAAATTTCCTCCATTAAGCAATAACCGAAGAAAATGTTTTAGGTCTTAGTGATATCAGTATGAATTTTTGATGTTAAAGGGTGAACAACAAGCAAAAGCAAGAGAGCTGTACACCTAATAAATTAATCTTTCAGAAGGCCTAATTCTGTTCCCATTGGTGTCAATTGAATGTTCTTTGCATCCACTAAAAAAAAAAAAGGTTCAAATTCAAAATAGTCCACAAAGAGCAGATATTCAATAGGAAATGAATGTCTTTGCAAGTGCAGGCCGAGATACTGACAGATATAAATACATATACACATACACACAAAATAGGTATTATTTTAATACTATCAAATATTTTTCCTGACCAAATAAGTCTGGTCTAATTCCGATAACTTCAAAGCTGCCCCAATACCTCTTTATAAATATTTAAACAAACTGATGTACTGGCTCATACACACAAATGTCTTTCCACACTCAACAAGCAAGTTATAACGTGTAACAGGAACCACTATTCCTGAGACTGTTGTAAATTTTTTAGGAGTGACAAATATTAAGAAAGATTATCCACCACAAAAGCTAATGCCAAATTGCTCGAAAGACTGACCTAAAAGACTACAGATACAAATACATTTAACACAAATATTATCTCTGCCCTTATGCTCATGTTAAAACATTTTGGAAAAAAAAATCCAATGAAGTCACTAAGAGGTCACAAGAATTTGACATTTTGTCCATAAAGGAGGAATGAAACAGTGAAGAAAATGAATGTGACTTCCAAAGCACTACTCTAACTGCTTCCACAACCAACTCTTGAATACTGCTATTGCACACACAGCAGCCAAACTAGAAATTAATACAAGCATTTTTAAGAAGGCTAAGCCAACATTAAATATATCAGTTCTACTTTGGTGGGGGTATGTGATGTATGTTTTGGTTTTTACCTCCAGAAGTTCATCCTCCAGTTGCAGAAGACCAAGTGTTGCAGCTGAACCATCTGAAGCAATTGATGATATATAATGATGTCCATCAAACGTGTCAAGCTCAACTCCTAATCTCAAAGTGTGGATGGGTAATAGCTGCCAAAAGATAAGTATGGCTGAGAATGTATGTATCTTTACCTACCACAGTATAAACACATTTAGGATTCAGCAGCTCACCAAATTAAACTAAGCACACAGTTAAGATAATTAAGTCCTCATACTGACATCATCTGCATTATAGCACAAGTGCCCATAATTTCTCTATACAAAGTGTTTGCACAAATAAAAACAACCAATCTGCCCTTTGGAGGAAAAAGCAATTTAAACTGTATTGTTAAATAAGGTTACAATATTGGAAAAAATGCAGAGAAAAGTACCACCTAATTCCTATCCTACCCAAAAGGTGAGTTTTCAGCAAAGCTGAAAGAAATTCCATGATCATCATAAAAACTCATCACAAGATCAGCTGTCCTACTCCTTTAGGAGCTACACTACTTTGAGGTAGGAAAAATATCCATGAAGCTTCCTCTGCAAATAGCTAATAATACTGGCATCCTTGTTTCTGCAAGGTGAAATCACTGATTTTGTGTTATCCTTTTCCCAGTGGGCCTCCTTAATTTCAAATTTTTCTCTAGGAAGCCTCCAACCATTAGTGTCTTAGGTCTGCTAATATTAGGAACACTGGCATAAAAGTGATATGCTACCCAGACAAGACAGCAGAAATCTGGCAACCTGGGGAGAAGAGATGATCAGTAGTATCTGCTCCTTCAGTTTAGTCATTTTCTGGCTTTTTATTACTTAAGTTGAAACACTGACTGTCTGTCTGGTTCCCAGTTAATTCTGGATATTCAAGTAAAAGGAGCAATCCATTGACCAACATTCCCTCACACCCAATGTCTGATTATGAGTTTATGGCCTTTCTTCACTGAGACAACCCCATAAGTATATAAATGCATCACCTCCGCAAACCTCTTTTGCACAATATTAACGTACATATCTTGAAAAATCTCTCAAAAGTCTCGGAAGACTGAAATTAATTTCAGCTCTGACCATTTCAGTTAAATGCACCTCCCTCTCCCTGAGCGAGGATTACTATGGCAAACTCCTTCACAGGACAATGACATTGTTCAGCAGAGTTTCAACCTCTGTTCTATTCCATAGAGGCTTTCAACAACTGAATTTCAATGCAATTAAGTATCCCAAAATTTGAGCTTATATGCATGGTTTGGGTTTTGTTTTTTTTTTTTTTTTTTATTCGCGCGCGCGCGTGTGTTAAAAGGTTCATTTGCCCATGTTACAAAAAGGTATTGGACCAGTCCAGAAGATAAGCAGAATATTGGCAGCCTTTTTTTGGAAAAGTAAGATAGAGCCACAAAGCCACTAAATTTCTGAAACACATGAATCTGGACTTGTCATGTCCTCCTGAGATTACTCTGCCAACATATACCATGAAGGAAACCATCATGCAAGTCATACCTTTGAGTACTTCTGGAGCTCCGAATCATCTGTAATGGGCATATCCACATTCACCACCTAAAAATTGTACATCGTAACATTTTTGAACAACAGGACAATAAAGATTTTACCAGAACGATGAATTCTGGCAAAAAAATGATGTGCAAAATAAACTGTACTTAAACAAAATCACATTGATGCAAAATAATTTTAAACAAATGTTAGAAAAAATCTTTCAGACAGACCATTTACAACTAGGAATGTGGTCATTATGCACTATTAGCAGACTCCAATATTATCCTATTCCTGAAGCCCAAGTGCCAATTTTAGTCAAGTTTAGTAATCCTGTATAAGCACAAAATGCCGTTATGTTTGACACAAATACCCAAACTCACTTGCCAATCAGAATTTGAAAAGTACGATAGGTTAAGTTATTACCTTCAGGCTATAGTACAGCCATCTAACATCTAGACCAAACCACCATCTTCTGCAGCATGTTCCTAATATGGCTTGAAATACAGGAGTTTAATTACCAAATTTGAATGCAAAGTGAATTATTTAAAACAGTGACAAGAAATCCCTTCAGTATATCTTAATTTTTTTTATATTAATAAAATAACTATGTTCACCACCAGTTTTCTTGTAATGGTCTTCCTTAACATAATTTATTTATCTGTAACCTTAAAAGGTTATTTACTCCAATTTTAAATGTAATAAGATGACATCTGTAGTGATCTATGGCCCAGAGCTGGCATTTAGGACACTGAAGTTTGGAAGGATTTGCCACACTTGTTAGATTTGGAAAATATATAGCCTTGCAAAAAATCAGGTAACTTCAGGATCCTTTGGAAATTTCTAGTTTAACAAAGTATCTATGAAACAGATCTAAGCCTCAGCTTTTTCTTTTGGCTTGATTTTAAATAGGGCTTCCAGCATCTTGTCTTCCACCACCTAGGATATCTTTCTGAACAGACAGAATCCGTTTCATGTCCATTCAGTTGTAACTGAATGAATCTATGACTGATAACTCCTCAGCTTGACTGCTCACGCTTAGATACCTGGCAACAAATACTACACAGTCATATATCCCTGTAAGAAAGAGA